CTGCAATGTTATATGCAAACCTCTTCTATTTGAGCCCTTTAATTGCTTGCTTGAATATGTGAAGTCACAATTATAACATGGCCGGGAACCCCACTAGTGGATCTTGAGGGGTGCCTAATACCTTCCCCTCGAGATAATTTCTAGCCCTTACCCAAACTCTGGTTCTTCAAACTCAAATCCTTTTAGTGTCCTAATGCACTTTAATCATTAGGTGGCAACTCTTCAATTCCAAAACCCAATTCCCAAAAGGGAACGAGTTGTCCTCCCAAATGTCGTAGACCCGATTTTCGCCTTAGAAAAAAAAAGGGGCGTCGACACCCACAACGTCCAATATTAATTGCTGGTTCTCCAGGAGCTTCTTCTATTTGTCCAGAAGCTCCTTAAGAGTGTCCTCCACTGACTGTGCGACCTGTGGCTGGGGTGGTACAGACTGGGCTTCCACCGAGGGACAGCACAGACAGCTTAGAAGTGGCTGCCTGCATCCAGTTGTTGATACTGGCAAGGGTCTGGTTCAACCGGTAGGTAGTCAACGGGTAGGCTGAAGATGAGGGGATATCTGGGGCAGTAGAAGGTCCTGGGGGCATCTCTGGGGTAGCTGAAGCAGGCTGAGTAGGAGCTGCCACTACTACTGGCTCTTCAGATTGGCCAGTAGAAATAGTGGATTTGGCTTTCGGATCTTTGCCTTTGGGGATGTCATCACTTTGTAGGCTGTACCAGGAAAAAGGTGCCTTTGGCTTCACCTTCACATCAAACCTCCTCTTGTCCACCTCCAAGTCATCCAGGTACATAGTCAGGAAATTTGGGAAGGGATACGACCTATCTCCCTCATTGACCACCCGTGTGATCGCCCTAGACATCATATTCCCGACATTGATCGGGTGCCCTACCATGATAGGAAGAGAGTTCTCATGAGTGGTGGGGTCTAGCCTGCTGCATACAAATGTCTCCCACCCTTTTGCTTTTAAGTTCAGGGTTCTCCTCAGAATTTTTACTCCCGCTGTCAACCATGCTGGGGTGGTACCTGGGATTGCCAAATACTCTGCTAACCACGGACGGGTATCCTCCCCCAATGATACCTTCTCTAAGTACAATGTCTCATCCTCCTCCATAAAGCCCAGGTAGTCATTGATTGTCTTCCCATCAAATTTCACTGTCAGATTTTGCACCTTAGTCACTTTCGTGCCCTTTTTGATGTGGGCAACATTAGTTTAGAACTCCTTGACTAGGTGCTCATTTGCATCCTCAACATTGCTTGTGAAGTAGTCCCAGCCCACTCTCTCTCTGAACTGCCTCCTCACATTGGTGTTGTGAGGCAAGAGGTCTCTATCAATGAAAGTCCGTTCAGGTATCAACTTCCTCTCGGGCCACCATTCTCTGAACTTGTGGTAGGCCACTTCACTCACAAATCTATCTTGCTATTCTTCTGGTTTTCTGGTTCTTGCCACCCCTCCTTTTGGGTCTCACCCCCTCCTTCTTCTTCTACGGGATCCTCACCGGGTGGTGAAGCTGTAGGTGAAGTAGAAGAGGCACTGTCACCGCCTCAGCTGAGCCCTCAGACGACTCAGAAGAAATGGAATTGAAGCTTGAGCAGTGGGGGACCCCTGAGGGGTAGGCTCATCTCACAATCTCATCCTCTCCGGGAAGTCAGGCATATACTCCGGCACTGACTCGGAATTAGACGCCTCCCGGGAGGGCAAATACTCACTTCCCTCTGAATGGGAAGTAGCTCTATTAGCAGCCCTTATTGACTTTCTAGTCTCCTTAATTGCCTGCCGAGCTTGGGGGGTCAATCTTATCATTCCTCGTCCCCTACCCCGGGAGGACTCAGCTTTTCCCTTTTGTTTGTCTCCACCGCCTCGTGATTTGACCATTTTATGCAAGTGGAATTCATTCTGTTATTGTTAGTATCCTAGTACCAAATGAAGCAGTGAAGACTATGATTGCAGACATGTGAAATTGTAAAGCAGCACTGCAGACCGCGGACCACACAAAATGAAGTGCGGCCACAAAGAGGCCATTGCGGACCGCACAAAATGGCACCGCGGTCCGCATTGAGGTGGGAGTCAGACTACCCACTCTCTGATTCTAGGCACCGCGGACCGCAAGAATTGTAGTGCGGCCGCAGTAAGGCACCGCGGACCGCACAAAATCCATCGCGGCCGCGGTCCTCAACTGTCAACCTCTCAGAAGTTATACCATCGCGGTCCGCACAAAATGCATTGCGGACCGTGGAGAAAACCAAGAACAGTAATATGCCAACCTAGGGTTTCAAATATTCGTCTCATTTTTAGCCTAAAATCACATGGTATTGATCCCCTAGGTGTTTGATAAACTTTCTTCAATAACTAACCCTAATTTAAACATGATTAAGCAAAACCTACGCTAAAATTTAAAGAGAAGGGAAGAAAAAGAAGTACAATTACAAAGTAAAAGAAAATAAACCAAGGTTAAAAACCAAGAAAAGAATAAAATTACCAGTAGTGAGATGCAACACAGATGATTTAGAAACAGAGTTTGAATTTTTGTGCAGTTAGGGCTTAGATGAACAGTACTTTTACTATTGTGTGAGCAAAGAGCGAAAGGGTAAATGAAGCCCTGAGGTCCTATTTATAGAGAATGACCCTGGGACCCATTATACCTACCCACCGCGGACCGCACAAAATGGCACCGCGGTCCGCGGTACTCAGACTCATGAAGCATTGGGAATCATCCACTGCGGACCGCACAATATGCTTTGCGGCCGTAGTGGTCCACCACAGACCGCACAAAATGCTTTGCAGCCGTGGTGGTAAACTTAAGAGAACCCCATTCTTTTACCAATCAACACTGCGGACCGCGCTGATTTGTTGCCCCCACGCTAAGGCCTTTGCGGCCGTAAAAAATGCTATGCGGCCGCAGTGCAAACTTCAGAGAGTGCACATTTTTTCCAACTTGGTCCTGCACTGCATCAAAACAATCCTACACACATCTCACAACCAGTTAGTCCAAAAACAAATCCTACACTAAAAAGAAAATCAAAGAAAAACAAAAAGAAAGACACATGGGTTGCCTCCCAAGAAGCGCATGATTTAACGTCGCGGCACGGCGCAGGTTACCATCAAATCACTTGAGATGGATCATTGCCACCACGTGGCTGTCATCAATCTTGCCAAGATAGTGCTTGACTATGTGCCCATTAACTCTGAAGATCTCACCATTTTTGTTTTTCAAGTCAAGTGTACCAAACGGAGTCACAAGCACCACTTCAAAAGGTCCACTCCATTTTGACTTAAGCTTTCCCGGAAACATACGTAACCGAGAATTGAACAAGAGAACCAAATCACCCACTTTGAACTCCTTGCTATGAGCATACTTGTCATGAAGGTACTTCATCTTGTCCTTGTACAAGGACGAACTGGAGTAGGCATGGAATCAGAATTCATCAAGTTCATTAAGCTGCTCCACACGAAGATTTGCTGCCACATCCCATTCAAGATTCAGTTTCCTCAAAGCCCACATGGCCTTGTGCTCTAACTCAACCGGAAGATGGCAAGCTTTCCCAAACACCAACCGGTACGGAGACATACCAATCGGAGTCTTGTAAGCAGTCCTATAAGCCCATAGAGCATCATCCAATTTCTTAGACCAATCGGTCCTATTGGCATTGACCGTCTTTGACAATATACTCTTGATTTCCCTGTTTGAAACTTCAACTTGGCCACTCGCCTGAGGATGATAAGGAGTAGAAACTTTGTGATTGACACCATACTTTGCAAGCAAAGTGTCAAAAGCTCTATTACAAAAATGCGATCCCCCATCACTTATGATTGCACGAGGAGTGCCAAACCTTGTAAAAATGCTCTTTTTGAGAAACGCAACCACACTCCGGGCCTCATTGTTGGGTAAAGCCACGGCCTCGACCCACTTTGAAACATAGTCAACCGCCACTAGAATGTATGTGTTCCCGCATGAGCTTACAAATGCGCCCATGAAATCAATACCCCACACATAAAAAATATCAACTTCTAGAATGGTGTTGAGAGGCATCTCATCTTTCTTCGAAATTCCACCCGCTCTTTGACATTCGTCACACCTCTTCACAAGTTCACTTGCATCTTTATACAAAGTTGGCCAGTAAAACCCACAACTAAGAACCTTCGAAGCTGTCCTCGCCCCGCCATGATGGCCACCATAGGGAGAGGAGTGACAAGCCTCTAAGATACTCAACTGCTCCTCCTCTGGAACACACCTTCGGATCACTCCGTCGGTGCAAATCTTGAACAAGTACGGCTCATCCCAATAGAAATCCAAACTATCCCGTTTGAGCTTCTTCCTTTGGTTAGAAGAGAGCTCACACGGGATTATACCAGTCACAAGGAAATTAGCAACATCCACAAACCATGGCATATCATTCATTGACACAGAAAGTAGTTTCTCATCGGGAAATGTATCATTGATCTCTAGGCCATCACACGGCCTCCCTTCCTCCTCTAAGCGGGACAAGTGGTCCGCCACTTGGTTTTCACTACCTTTCCGGTCCACAATTTCCAAATCAAACTCTTGAAGTAACAAGACCCATCGCATCAACCTAGCTTTGGAATCTTTCTTCGTCATCAAATACCTAAGAGCGGCATGATCGGTATGCACTATGACTTTGGCGCCCATGAGATACGGCCGAAATTTCTCCATTGAAATTTTTCCATTGCGAACACAATAGCCAACAACTCTTTCTCAGTCACCGTGTAGTTCCTTTGGGCATCATTCATTGTCTTGCTCGCGTAGTACACCGGATGAAACATTTTGCTCACTCTTTGACCCAAAACTGCCCCAACCGCAATATCACTCGCGTCGCACATGAGCTCGAAAGGCAAGCTCCAATTGGGTGCGGTAATAATAGGAGTGGTGGTCAACTTGTGCTTGAGAAGTTCAAATGCTTGCATACATCCCTCATCGAACACGAACTTGGCATCCTTTTCTAATAGCTTGCACAAAGGATTCACTACCTTCGAAAAATCCTTGATAAATCTCCGGTAGAACCCCGCATGCCCAAGAAAACTTCTAACCCCCTTGATAGAAGTAGGGGGAGGAAGCCTTGAAATCACCTCTATTTTAGCTTTGTCCACTTCTATGCCATGTTTTGAAATTTTATGACCAAGGACTATGCCCTCCTCCACCATGAAGTGGCATTTTTCCCAATTGAGCACAAGATTGGTTTCTTCACACCGGGCCAACACCCTATCAAGATTCTTCAAGCATTCATCAAATGAGTCTCCCACCACACTAAAGTCGTCCATGAACACCTCCAAAATATCTTCCACCATGTCGGTGAAAATGGCCATCATACACCGCTGGAATGTAGCCAGTGCATTGCACAACCCAAAAGGCATCCTAGAAAAGGCAAAGGTGCCATATGGACAAGTGAAAGTGGTCTTCTCCTGATCTTCCGGAGCAATCAAGATTTGGTTGTACCCAGAATACCCATCCAAGAAACAGTAGAAGGCACGCCCAGCAAGTCGATCAAGCATCTGGTCAAGGAAAGGCAATGGAAAGTGATCCTTGCGGGTCACTTTGTTCAGCTTGCGGTAGTCCATGCACACCCTCCATCCGGTGACTGTCCGGGTAGGAATTAGTTCATTTTGCGCATTGGTCACCACGGTCATACCGCCCTTCTTCGGCACACATTGCACCGGCGAAGTCCAAGAACTGTCAGAGATGGGGTACACAACCCCGGCATCTAACCACTTGATCACCTCCGTTTTCACAACTTCTTGCATTGCCTCGTTCAACCTCCTTTGATGTTCCAAGGAGGGTTTTGCATCATCTTCAAGAATAATCTTGTGCATACAGAATGCGGGGCTTATTCCCCGAATATCAGCTAAAGTCCATCCGATTTCCTTCTTTCGCTTTTGGAGCACCGCCAATGTGGCATCTACCTGCATGTTAGTAAGACAAGAGGAAAAAATAACTGGCAAAGTTGAACTAGGGCCTAAGAATTCATACCTGAGGTGTGGACGCAACGGCTTCAACTCCAACACTGGAGGTTCCTCGATTGAAGGATTTGTTGGTTGAGTCTTCCTATTCTCAAGATCCAAGGATAGCTTCCGAGGCTCATAAGAGTAAGAGCCCATTGCATGTAAAGCATTGACACACTCCACACGGCCTTCATCCTCATTTACGTCAAGATTCAACAAAACCGCCTCTTGGGGGTCCTCCACATTGATCATTGCACTAGTATCATCAATTATCACTGCTGTGACAAGATCCACAAATGAGCACACTTCAGTACAGTTGGGCTGCTTCATTGACTTGCACACATGAAAGACCACTTTTTCATCACCCACTTGGAAAGTGAGTTCCCCTGCTTCCACATCAACTAAGGCCTTCCCAGTAGCAAGGAAAGGTCTTCCAAAAATTATAGGTACCTCAAAATCAACCTCACAATCGAGAATCACAAAATAAGCTGGCAATATGAATTTGTCCACCCGGACGAGAACATCAGCTATTATACCCAAAGGCCTCTTCATCGATCTATCTGCCATTTGCAACCTCATGGAAGTCGGCCTCGGCTGTCCAATACCCAAAGTCTTGAAAACTGAGTAGGGCATCAAGTTGATACTCGCCCCCAAATCACATAGAGCTTTAGTAAAGTCTACACTTCCAATAGTGCAAGGAATGGTGAAAGCACCGGGATCCTCCAACTTCGGAGCCATTGAATGCACTATAGCACTAACTTGGTAGGTCATCTTGATAGTTTCACAGTCCATGGATCTTTTCTTCGTCACCAAATCTTTCATGAATTTAGCGTAGCCAGGCATTTGCTCCAAAGACTCCACCAAAGGCACATTAATGGATAAGCTCTTCATCATGTCAATGAATTTTTTAAACTGGTTCTCATTTTTCTGCTTTGCGAGCCTTTGAGGATAGGGTGGAGGTGGCCTTGGCAAAGGAGCCTTGGCTTTAGGCACAACCGCTTCAGGCATGTCTATTACGTGTTCCCTAGACGGGTTCACGTCATTTTGAGTTTCCACCTCGGTATCTTTGATATAAATCCTCACTTCTTTATTCACGTTCTCATCAATCACATTCTTCACCACCAAAGGGATCTCATCCTCTTGCAACTCAACTTCATCACTCAAAATTTCTTTTTGTTTGGAGGCATTCACATCACCGCCTCGTCCACTTCTTGTAATTACTGCCATTGCTTGCCCGGTATGGTTCCCACCCTTCGGGTTCACTACCGTATCACTAGGTAGAGCCCCCTTAGGGCGAGTATTCAAGGACTGTGAGATTTGGCCTAGCTGAACCTCCAAGTTTCTGATTGAAGTATTGTGGGATGCTAACTGAGCATCTGAGTCAGCATTCTTTTTCATCATCTGTTCAAACATCATTTCAATTCTCCCCATGTCATTGTTGGATGAACTAGGCCCTTGGGATGGAAATGGGGGTGGATTGCTCGGTTGCTGATACATTGGGGGCCTTTGAAAGCCTTGCCCCCGATTTCCCTGATTATTATTGTTCCAACCACCCTGATTGTTGTTTCCACCCCAGTTGTTGTTGTTGTTACCCCAGTTTCCTTGATTGTTCTGATTGTTGTTCTGGTTACCCCAATTAGGATTTTGATTGTTGTTGCCCCAATTATTGTTGCCTTGTTGTTGATTACTCCAATTATTGTTCCCTTGTTGTTGATTACCCCAATTGCCTTGGGATCTCCATTGTTGTTGTTGGTTGGAAGAATTGCCCCTTTGGCCTTGATAATTGTTCACATACTGCACTTCTTCATTCTGCTCTTCATACCCATCATCTTGGAACCCACCACTATCTTGGTTGTATTGATCCGAATTCCCTTGGTTCTGTTGCCCTCTTTGTCTTCTTTTGTTCACTAGCATGTTGACACCATCCATAGCATTAACCTGTCGTGGAGCTTGAACCTGTTGTAACTGTGGCTTTGCTAGCTGGTTCATGGTTGTTGTCAGTTCTGCTATTGCCTGCCCATGATCATGGAGCTCTTTGTGCAAAGCCGGAAGCATGTGTCCGCTCTATCTCATCCAAAATTTCACAAGCTTGATCATACGGCGTGTTCATGAAGTTGCCCCCAGCTAATTGGTTCACTATGCACTAGTTTGTTGTGTTAATGCCTCGGTAGAAGGTCTGTTGTATCATTGCCTCAGTCATATCATTATTAGGTCATTCCTTAACCATGGTCTGGTATCGCTCCCAAATTTCATGTAGTGGTTCGTTGGGCTCTTGTTTGCAAGCTAAGATTTCATTCCTCAAAGTTGCCATGTGCCCCGGTGAGAAAAACTTTGCAATGAACTTATCCGCCAACTCATCCCAGGTATGGATGGAATGATTGGGGAGTCTCTCCAACCAGTCTAGTGCCTTCCCCCGAAGAGAGAAAGGGAAAAGTCTCAACCGCAAGGCATCCTCGGACACGTTGGTTTTCTTGCTCCCCCAACATGTATCAATAAAACCCTTAAGGTGCTTGTAGGCATTTTGATCGGGAGCACCCGTGAAATATCCTCGTTGCTCCAGCAAGGTCAGCATCACATTGGTAATTTGAAAATTACCCGCCCGGATCCGGGGTGGGACAATTGCACTGGCATATCCTTGGTTGAGAAGCACCCGAGGGGCCACTCTTGGAGGTGGCGGGGGAGGGTCTGGAATATTGTCATTGGCATTAGCATTGGCCTGGCGGCCTCTCCGTTATCCTTGAGGCATAAAAGGTACCTCATCCTCACCATTGTTATCAACCTCCTCCCCCGGGATCACATTTCCAAGAGGGTCATTGTTGTTATTTGCCGCCATTTTGTACCTGAATTGGCGTCAAACAAAGATTAGTAACACAGTAGGATAGAAAAGTAATAAACAAAACTATTTAGATAGATAGTCAAAACTGTTAGCCGGAAAGATTAATTGCTTTGGGACTGATAGGTGCCAACGCTGCACCAGTATAGAGCGGCGAGAGCGGTCGATGCAGCTTTTACCCGAATATGTCCGGATCGAATCCACAGGGAGCTAGAAGTTGGAGTTGGTTTCCTATCTAAACTAGCAATGTATAATGCTCTTAATTGCACTTCCAATCATAGTTGATGTTTTGATTACTTCTAATATTATGCTAACAAGATGCTACATTAAGCTAAGATTACTTGCTAAAAGGTTGTCTAATAGGTAACGAGGCACTAGGGAAATGACTTCCCCCTAGGTGAATACTTGACGGGTTCCTAAGTCTAAAACAAAGATGTTATGTTTGGGATCGCGATATAGCCGTTGCACGACACTACTCACTCTATACCCCTCGGTAGCATGAGTGACTTTGCCCGAATTGACTTTCTCAAGACCAATTGGGTGTCGAAATTAAGCAAGCAACATAGGCTCAAATCGGGTATTACTATCTCTAGATTTAACCCTTTAATTGGGGCTATCAATCTCTTGAGTACGCCCCAATTTCTTGTCGGACTGATTTCCTAGACTTAAGCTCTCTTTCTCAAGAAGAGCCCAAGTCACTTAGGCACAAATTAGTGTTTGCAACCACTAATCCAACATACAAAACTCAAATCGGTCCAAATATCAACCACCCATAAACATCTAAGTATTAGAACATAAGACCCATCAAATACCCACACTAGGGTTGAGCCACAACCCTAGCTAATGGGTCTAGCTACTCATAATTAGGGAAGAAAACAAGAAATTAGATGAAGAAATAACCATAATAATTAATTACAAACTAAGATAATGAAGATTCAGCGTAATAGTAGCCCAAAATTACTCAAAAAGGAATAAAAAGGTCGTTCACGTGCTCAGCCCCAAGTCAGATTACAAAAGATGACCTAAAAATATGAAAAGAAAGTATTTATACTAGGCCGAATTTTTTGGACAAAAATACCCCTGACGAGGTAGTGCAATCCGAACAAAATGCATCACGGACTGCACTGAGGCTTTTTGGCTTGGCTCTACAGTCTCTAAAGTTGGCCACCGCGGACCGCATAAAATGCACCGCGACCGTGGTGGCTTCAATGCGGTCCGCACAACAACGACCGCGGACCACATTGGCAATAAATCTCCCAAGTCCCAACTCTCTGAACTTCATCTTTGAGGACCGCACAATATCGATTGCGGCCGCGGTGAGGCCATTGCGGTTCGCACAAACTGCTTTGTAGCCGCATTGCTTGGGTTTCTGGAATAGGCACCTCTCTGAATCTCCTCACTGCGGATCGCACTAAATGGAATGCGGCAGCAGTGGATCTGTTGCACTGTGCTTGGACTTGTTCTTGGTACTTGTGCGTGTTTTACTCCTTTTTGAGCTTGTTTTGACTAATTGTCACCTTTTGGACCAAACCCTGCAAACAAGTACAACATGTAAGCCTTTGGGACTATTTTGTACACATTTTTAATCAAAACTCAAGTAAGAAGGAGTGTAAAATGAACCATAATCCCTAGTTATCAGGGAGCGGAATCGGTGTTTACACCAGATGTCGAGGCTGTTTCTGCGGCGGGTGCCGCCATGGAGAGGAGGTCCTCTAAGGTCGAAGGGGTTCATGGTGGCGGAGAGCTTATACAGGCTACTGAAGGTGGCTCGTCATCGGCGGCTGGGAGAGGTGGAGATGTCCCTGCGGGGAACGATGACTCTAGTTCGAACATCGACCCTTAGGAGATATGGACCTTCATGGAAAGGATTACTCGTGTGGAGATAAGAACGGAGGGTCCTAATCAGCTTATTGTCATTCCCGTGGACTACGACCTCTTGGCCAACTCAGAA